TAATAATAGGGGTAACAGGAAAGTCTTTGCACATGATGTGAGGGTGCCTGAGAGAATTGAAGAGAGCATAACAGTAAGCAAGGAAAATTGCATGGAGATGATTTTTAACAGATATTGTCAATATCAATTAACATGAGACTGTTTTTTATTATGAAAAGGCCATACTGTACGTCACATAAATTATTAGAGAACTGTTCTTATCCTGACAATTCCGTGTCTATGATAGAGAACAGTACTCTTCTTACTGAAGCATAATAGAAAAAGCTTGCCGGAGATGATTTTAAATCTGGAAGTATATTTAAAACTAAGATTTATTATAAATATTTCCATTTAGGCAGAGGGTCCTCCTATATAAATACTATTATTTCATAAGTTTATTTCCATAAAAACTTTTTTTTGTGAAGGAAGAATTTTGTGGGCTGTTCTGAATAGGGAGTATGACATTGTCTTTATTGAACACTGTTATTAGTGAAACTTCCTTTTAAGCTTGATGCAGTAACACCTATATTTATTTCCAGCACTGTGATAGGTTGATGCAAGAGGATCACTAGTTCAGGACTAGCTTGGGAAACTTAGCAAGACCATGGTGTGTGAGGACATGGCTTCAGTCCCCAATATCATTCACACAGCAGTAAAGAAACAAAAAGAATCAAAAGGGTTAATTTTGAAGTTTCATTTTTTGCAGCAGAAATGAAATTTTTAATTTTCATTGTGTTTCAGTATTCTTTTGAAGTATGATAACGTAACTGTGGATGACAGTTAGTCTTTTTTTTAATTTTAAAAATAAAAAAACTAAAATAACAATGAAGGCAAAATAAAAAAACACAAAAATGATACAGGACCTCAAAACAAAATGATAGGAATCAACAATGGTTGGTACATTACATACTGTTATCTTCAAAGAAGTTGCTCAGTCCACCAGATATAAGAATGTAGGATTGATGAAACAGTCAAAGCCAATAACAAGTAATAATAAAAAAAAAAACCATTGTAAATGATGCAGAGCTTCACCACACAAGATGGCAGGAGTTCAACAATGGTTCTTATACTGCATATTGTTATTTTCAGATCAGTCATTCTGATTACCAAATTCAAGTGTGCTAATGTGGTCAAGAAAAAAGAAAATTTTAATATACCTATTCCAGCTATCCTTAAATATGCATATAAATTTTGTTTTTTCATTAAAAAAACCAAAATAAAAAAACAAATATATAAACTAAAGAGCATAGAGAGCAATAAAAATGATACAGAATTTCAAAACATGGTGATAGGATATTAACAATGGTTGTTATATTAGATAATGTCATCTTTAAAATGGTCGCACATATAACCAGATATAGGCATGCAAGATTGATCAAACAATTACACATTTACAATTCCTTTTGATAAATCAACAGGTGTTAGTAGTACAATTATCCTAGCTCTCCTGTGTATACATATACATATTTTTTCTCTTCTTTCTTTTTCCTCTGCCCTCCTTCATCCCAGGTGCTCCTTCCTATTTGAGCAGTTTCTTTTCCCTTTCACAAAATCTTCCTATTTGAGCATTTTCTTTTCCCTTTCACAAAAGGTTTTGTGAAACATTTCACAAAAAAGTGTACCTTTCAGATTTTATTTACTCCTTCAGGTCCTTATGGTAGGGAGGAAAATGATGTTTACACATGTGAATCTGATTTATTTCACTAATGAGTATGGTCTCTAGTTGCATTTATTTACTTATAAAAGCCTCTAGTTTATCTTTCTGTATAGCTGAGTAATACTCCATTGTATTAAAATACCATATCTTTTTATCCACTCCTCAGCTGATGGACATTTGGGTTGTTTCCAAGATTTAGCTATTCTAAGTTGTGTGGCTATAAACATGGGTGCACATATATCACTGTGGTATGATGTTCTCCGTTCTTCTGGAAGAATACTCAGGAGGGGAATAGCTGGGTTGAATGGGACCTCTAGATGTAGTTTTCTGAGGAATCTCCAAACTGATTTCCACAGTGGTTTCACCAGTCTGCATTCCCACCAGCAGTGGAGAAGGGTTCCTATTTCTCCACAGCCTCACCAGAGGAGGGGAATAGCTGGGTTGAATGGGACCTCTAGATGTAGTTTTCTGAGGAATCTCCAAACTGATTTCCACAGTGGTTTCACCAGTCTGCATTCCCACCAGCAGTGGAGAAGGGTTCCTATTTCTCCACAACCTCGCCAGCATTTGTTATTGGTTGATTTCTTAATGCTAGCCATTCTTACTGGGGTAAGGTGGAATCTCAGTGTTGTTTTAATTTGCATTTCTCAAATGATTAATGACTTTGAACTTTTTTTATGTATTTATTTGTCATTTGTATTTCTTCATGTGAGAATTGTGTATTCATCTCAGATGCCCATTTTTGTACTGGGTCTTTGAATTTTAGGGACCTGATTTTTTGTCTAATTAATCTCTTCATGACAGTGGTGTGCTAAAATCCCATTACAACTGCATTATTACTTATTTGATTTTTTATGTCTGTTAAAATTTGCCTTATATATTTAGGTGTCCCTACATTTCATGCATGTATGTTTATGATTGTTATCTCTACCTCTTGCAGTTTTCCCTCATCAAGAATATAGTGACATTCTTTATGGTTTTTGATCATTGTTGGTTTGAAGTTCAACTTGTCTGCAAGCAGAATAGCTACTCCTGCTTTTTTCTGAGTTCCTGCCATATGGAGTATTTTTTCCCTCCTTTGACTTTCAGTCCATGGATTTCCTTTTGAGTTAACTACATTTTTTGTATGCAGCATATTGTTGAAATTTTTTTCTTGATCCACTCTGCCAGTTAGTTTCTTTTGATTGGTGAATTGAGACCAGTTACATTAATGGTTATTAGGGATATGTACTGACTTATCCTTGTCATGTTATTTTCCCACTGTTGGTTCTGTGCATTGCCCCTCTGTTTAACTTCTTACCTTGCTTTGTATTTCTATTCTACTGGTCTTGAGATTGTGATCATTTTCATCTCCTTGTAGAATATCTTTTAGTACTCTTTGTAGGATTGGCTTGGTGCTCATGAATTTCTTCAGTAGATCTTTGTTATGGAAGTATCTTATTTCTCCATCAGTTTTGAAAGATAGCTTTGTAGGGTACAGCAATGACAGTTGGTCTTTTCATGGTAGATGAAAACAGTAAAACAGTCAACTAACTTTACAGAATATTTGAAACACAGTGAGGATATTTAAGGATGATAACTGAGCAGGGAGGACAGGGTTGTAATTTAAATGTCAGAATAGGAAGGTTGATGAAAAACAGAAAACAAGCCACGACCCAAGTATCTTCCTGTGGATCCTTAGTGGGAAATAACAGTAGTCAGTGAATGTGGAGAATCAGGTTGAGAAGAAGACTCCTTCTCCTCTGCCATCATAAGTTGACTCCATTTCATCCACACAAAAAGAAAGGCTCACTCTTGAGAAAACTGCCCGAGAAGGCTTGGACTCAGAGACGTTGGGCAGTGACAGAGAAATTCTGAGGTACAGAGCAGAGAAGGTAGTTTGGACAAATGTCTACTCCTTTCATTCATAGCCTCTGAGTTCTTTTCTGCATCTTCCTTCCTGCAATTCAGCAGTCAGAAATATATCCATAGAGAGTGAAGAATTGTGGAGTACACATCTTCATATTTTGACATCTTATAGAAAATCTCTGCAACCATCCATCACACAAAAGTAAATACAAGTATCTGCTCAAGACATAGGGTCATGGAATTTCAGAACACTAGGACTCATGTAAAAATTCTGAAAACTTTCAGAGAGATATACCAGGTCAAATATAAAGGATTATGATCAGAATAGCCCTAGAAATCTTAAGGATATCTCTTATTTCATTATTAACAGAAAAGGTATGTTTTACATCTATATATTTGCAAAAGATCCTATGAACTTTCCTCACATGTACATCCATTTGAATGTCTCAAGGTATTTCAGAGGAAGTCCTTGGCTCTAGTCATTCGTGGAGCTCACAGAGGAAAATGAGAGTGTCAGGGAGGTCACTGGGCACCAGGAGTAGAAAAAATCCACTTCACAATGGACCAGGTAGATGATGAGAGCAAGAGTAAAACTCGAGGAACAAAGAAGTGATGGGTGGTTGAAAGGTTCCCAATCACTGGGCAATATATATTTCTTAGAGTTGGAAACATATACCTGATCATTTATTGAAAAATCTAACTTAAGAAATTGAAAAATATGAACTATAGTAAAATATTCAGTCAAATATATCAAACATGATCACATTTTTTTTTAACCAGGGAATAATATTGACATGGTCAGAAAACTCAAGCAATATATTCTGGGGTAATCTGGGGTAATCAGTTTCCTATCGTTTCACCACGTATATCATACCTCCTAGTTTTTATTCATTCTTTCAGGTTCTACACTAATGAGACAATAATTTGTTTATTTCTATCACTTTATTGAAAGGAACAGTTAATGAGTAATTATTTTCCTCAATCTTGCATGTGCATGTGTGTTTTCTTGAATAACCACTTTGAAGTTATCAGTATGTAATACAACAACCATCGTTAATTGCTTGTCACCTTGTTTATAATTAAGTATTGCTTGTACTATTCTTTTTTTTACTTTAAAAATAAAAGGAGGAAAATATTAACAGACAGACAACCTTTTACAAAATAGCAAAAGAAAAGTACAGACAACACAAAGTTACAAACAAAGTTGTAGGAAATTAACAATGCTTGTTGTATTACATATTGATATCTTCAAAGTGGTTTCTCAGGAAAACAGGTAGAGACATGCAATATTGATCAATCAAGGACTTATTGACAGCTTCTTTCAGCAAAGAAATAGAAGACAGTGGAACACCTATGTTAACTATCCTGTATATACATACATACAAAATTTCTCCTTCTTTTCTTTTTCTTTTCCCACATCCCAGTTGCCTTTACCCTTGAACGTTTTCCTATCATTTCACAATGTCTATCACACCTCCTAGTTTAAATTAACTCTTTCAGCTTTTACACTTGTGAAACAATGCGGTCCTTGCACATGCAGGTCTGATTTATTTCACTTTAGTATGGTCTCTAGTTGTGACCATTTACCTATAAAGGCTTCGAGTTTATCTTTCTTTATAGCTGAGTAATTTTTCATTATATAAAAGTGCCACAATTTTCTCATTCAATCCTAGTGGATGGACATTTGGGTTGCTTCTAGAATTCAGCAATTACAAATTGTGCTGCTATGAACATAGGTGCACATATATCACTGTGATATGATGTTTTTAGATCTTCTGGGAAAATACCAAGCAGAGGGATAGCTGGGTTGAATGGGACCTATAGGTGTAGTTTTCTGAGGAATCTCCAAACTGATTTCCACAGTGGTTTCACCAGTCTGCACTCCTTCCAGCAGTGGAGAAAGGTTCCTATTTCTCCATAGCCTCACCAGCATTTGTTATTGGTTGATTTCTGAAAGCTAGCCATTCTTACTGGGGTGAGGTGGAATCTCAATGTTGTTTTAGTTTGCATTTCTCAAATGACTCATGATGTTGAACATTTTCTCATGTATTTATTTGTTATTTGTATTTCCTTATCTGAGAATTGTATATTCATCTCAGTTGCCCATTTTCGGATTGGTTCATTGAATATGGGGAGGCTGATATTTTAAAATTCTTTATATGTTCTAGATAGAAGCTCTTTGTCTGAGGGACAGTCAGCTAAATTTTTTTCCAAGTTTATGGGTTTTGTGTTTACTATGCTGGTGATTTCTTTAGATTTGCAGAAACTTTTCAGTAGGATGAGATCCCAGTTGTCGATTCCTGCAAGTGTTTCACATGCAGTTTGCTTTTTGCTCATGAACTCTTTGCCTACCTCTATGACTTCAAAAAGTTTTTACCTACTTTCTCTTCCAATAGATTTAGCGTTTCTGTGTTAACATTAAGATCTGTGAACCATTTTGACTTGAGTTTGGTGCATGGTGATAGGCTTGGGTTTATTTTCAGTCTTTGGCAGGTAGCAAGCCAATTTGTCCAGCACTATTTATTAAAGAGGCTATCATTCTTCCAGTGAGTTTCATTTATCAAAGAGTAGGTGGGTGAATGTGGTTTTGGTTGTGGCTGTTTCTTCCAGTCTGTTCCATTGATCCTCAGGCTTGTTTTTTAGCCAGTACCAGGGTGATTTCAGGAGAATAGCTTTGTAGTATAATTTCAGGTCAAGGATTGTGATTCCGTCTGACTTATCCTGGTTGCCCAGGATTGCTTTTGCTATACTGGGTCTCTTTCGGTTCCAGATGAATTTAAGGCATGTTTTCTTGAGATATGTGAGGTATGCTAATGGTAGTTGAATGGGAATTGCATTGAATCTGTACAGCAGTTTTGGGAGTATGGTCATTTTCACAATGTTGGTTCTTCCTATCCATGAGCAAGGAATATTTTTCCATTT